AGTGCAAGACAAATAAATTCTTTAAAAATCATACAATGTGATTTCCTGAATTTTTTTTTTAATTCTGTGTCTCAGAGTGGGAATGCACCTACAATGTGAATTTCAGACCCCTCCATGATTTCTAAGTGGGAGAACTTGCAAAATCGCAGGGTGTTCAAATACTTCTGTTCCTCACTGTATATGAATTAATCAGTCAGGGAATGCAGTATTTTCAAACAGTGTGAGCTAATCTAAGCTCAAAAAACATGATTTTAAGGTGTGTGCGGGAAGATTCTCAGAATATAAGCTTTGTCTATAATGACCACAGAGAGTCAAACTCTACAAAAACAGCTCTAAATACAGGACAACACCAACATTAAAACTCAGTGTCTGGGCTCTGTTTTGCATTTCAAACTCTTCCACTCCCATCATTTCCTCTTCGCTGAATAAACAAAGCCTGAGGTTGGCTATACTGTGAGAGCAGCTGAAATGCCACTGTAGAGGCGGATTATGTTTTTATGGAGGTGGTTTTAGAAAAAGAGGCCAAAGCAGATTTATTTGCACAAAAATGTGCTAATTTGTCTACTATGTAAAACAGAGAAGTAACATAGTTGATTTGTTTTACTGCAGTGATAAAACATCTTAACAGCACTGAAAACTACACACAACGAGAATATGCAGGAGGAGAAACAAGGTAAATAGAGACAAAACACTTTCATACATGGGACCTGATCAATAAATGTGTTAGTAGTTACATTTTGCTGTATTTGCATGAATCAAATGCGTCTTATTCATACAGGGGCATGCATGCAGGCAAGTTAGTAAAAGCAGGCAGCAAAGGTCAAGGGTCAGCTTCATTCTTTCTTCACCCAGTCATACAGAGAATAGAATTCCTATTTTAAAACCGCACTGAAATAAATCATGAATTAAAATAACAGCCCTCAGTGGCAGCAATAGAAAGTCAAAGGCAGAAGGATGACAATTCAACAGCTGAATAGGCTGACCCCTGACCAGTCAGCACAGCCAGAGAGAGGTTCAAGGAAAAATGAATGAGGGGTTTGGAGGGGAGGGGAGGGCCTAGCAGGAGGACAGGCGAAAGCTGTGCTCACTTTCAAAGTCAAGGAAAAAGTTTGGCCCCTGTTCAAGCTCTGTGCAAGTTAGCACTTTTAACAGATTCCCCATTTGGTTTCTGTAAGAGAGACAAAAGAAAAAGAAAGGAAGAAAAGTACGTGTGATAAGAAGTCATCAAAAAAGTTAACTGAACAGAGATGGAAGATCAGAGCTGGAAGATCAGGAGGTCGTGAGTGGAAAACAGCACAGGAGAAACTAGAAGAGCATAGGCAGACTCCGTGGCTTTGTCATCGAGAGCAGAGACCTGCACACAGAAGGGAAACAGCTGAACCGGTTACACCCTCCCTCCCCCCCATATCTCCTCCATCCATCTCTTCTCCCTTTGCTCCACTCCTCTGACAGACTTACTTTCAAAGTCCAGGAAAAAGTGGGGATAGTTCTCTATTTCCCTTGTTAGGACTTTTAGCAGGTTACCCATTCCAGCAAACCTGATGGTCAAAATACAGTGGTAAAAAACACACACAAAAACATGAATACATATTTAAATTGAACACAAAATACAGTTCAGTCAATGTGTAGTTAACTTGACATACTGAGACAATCACAATGACAGAAGTAGAAAAGGTCTTCAGTACTCATACAGTAGTAAATTTATAGATGCAAATAAAAAGTACTACAAACACATCAAGGGATGAAACTAATTATTATTTATATTACTAATTAATTTGCTGACTATTTTCTGATTCATCAATTAATGTATTGTGCGTCAAGGTCAGAAAAAAGAGAAACTGTCAAAGTTCAGATGTCTTCTTTTGTCTGAGCAACAGCTCAAAACCCAAAGACATTTAGTCTACTATCACACAAGACCATATTCACAAGCAGAAAACAGAATGAGGCATTTGTTAAAAAAAAAGACAATATAATTTTTGCTGATTTTTCCGTTTATTGATTTAGCTATTTACACTGTAGTATTTTCTTCAATGTTTTTTTTTTTTATAATCTAACACCATTTTACAAATATGAAGGGAAACAAAGTATTCCTAATTGTGCATTTATCAGTATGCACACAAACACATGGCAGGAATCTAGTGGTAAAAACAAATTCAAGGGCGCAGTTCTACATGTGGACGGTAAGGACGTACCGCTACAAATATTTGAGCAAACTCATGCACATTATTTTTGGAGTGAAGTCATATTAGATTATCACAATAGGGGGTGATCCAACGCTCACATTACGTGCAAATGTCATGTTTGCTCCCAGACATGGAGGAGGCGACAGCTGTCAGGGTGCTGAAAACATCGCTGTGAAAAGCTATTCACAGATTCAAAGTTTCTGGACCAATAAGTCATAAGCAAAACCTTTCTAAATAAAAACGACACCTCTTTTGTTTCGTAGTAATGTAGGCAATAAACTACAAGCTCATTTTTATCAAAATGAGCTGTCCTCTGCTCCAGACAAATAACATTAGTCTCAATGTGCAGCGGCTGTGAGACGAATGCACAGGGACGGTGCAACACTGAAAAGAGACAGGCCTGCTACAAAAATATTCAATAACTTTACTCTGACCCAGTGTAACCAAAATTACTTCACATATCAATGGCCATCTACTGGTTATACTACAACCCTTACTTAGGAAAAATGTGTTTTTTCATAATTTGGGGGGGGGGGGGGGGG